AAGGAATCTTTGGAATAGAATGGCAGGGTCAATGGTTTTATCAGGAGCAATTTTAATGGCTTTCTCATCTCCAAATGTTTTTGCTTTATCTTTTCTTTTGCATCGTGAGTGGATTTCCCGTACGATTAAAAATCGTAACGGTATTGGGTTTGGTCTACAGGAGTTCGTGCTTCGAACAGGTCATTCCATTCATAGAAAAAGCCTTTTGATGGAGAAAGTGTACCTTTTTAGCAAGGTTTGCCTAGGTCGAAACCAACTCCGGCTGTATAAAATTGACTAGAAGATTGAAAAAGTTCTTGTTTATGAATAAGGATTACTACTATGTCCATCTTTATTGATCTAATCTACGTAAATTTACATTCAGAGTTTATATTTAATTAATTAAAACTGTTTCGACATTTATCTTAAAATATTATATGAAATATTGTAATCGTTAAAGACTAATAATATTTCATAATATATATAATCGGTATCTTTATTCAAAAAACTCCTTCATAAAAAAATATATATATATTTATATGAAATATTGTAATCGTTAAAGACTAATAATATTTCATAATATATATAATCGGTATCTTTATTCAAAAAACTCCTTCATAAAAAAATACATTAGTAGCCAAAAGCTAAATTGGTGTATTTTGTACAAAAGGAAAACAAGAACGAGAAACGGCAAAAACATCACATTAAAACAATACAAAAGCAAACCCAAAGCATCAGTATAAGTTCACTACGTTAAAATTGCACAATTTGAATTTTTCAAAATAATTTCATTAGATAAGTAGTGGGGCTATTTTAAAGACAATACAAAAAAAGAACCCAAACCATCAACATTTCGCAAAGTTAAAAACAATTGCAAAAAATTAAATTTATTCTTCAATTAATTTCATTAGATAAGGGATGGGGCTATTTTTAAAACGTTCAGTCCTCAGGAAAGTCATTTCATAATTTCTATGTTTACGAAGTTTTACGGTGGGCCGTATGTATCCCATGTAGACTGTTAACAGCTCATTATTATTGAAACCAGACTCTTTTAATTTTCTTAACATGAATAGTTTCCTATTAGCCTCTTTGACCATTAGGTCAACATGATTTTCCCATTTTAGGTCATTGCTTAGAACTACTCCTAGTAGTTTGACGTTATTTAAATAAAGCAGTATGATGGAACAATGATTAAATTATGTTAATTACAGACACAATGTATACTCAGGCCCAGTTCTAGAGTCCAGTTAAAATATGTAAGTATGTATGGAAATGATATATTTATATAAATAATATGTGTAAATATGTATTAGTATATTAAATTAAATGAAATGAAAAAACGAAAGAAGCATAGGAAGAAAGAATAGGAAAGAAGTTTGGAGCGGCTGAAATATTTACCGAAAATAACAATAATAATCATTTTGTCAATTGCATCACATTTTTGTGAAAATTTGTTGGTAGGCCTACTAATCGTCAGAGGTCAAGGTGCCGGCAGCCTACATGTTTCATATGTATATTGGACATCGATGTTGAATTATGGAAAGTGTAGGCCGTGGCACAGAGACCTCTGACGATTGGTGCCCAAAAATGTTTACAAAAACGTAATGCAATATTGACATATTGACTACTTTTGTATATTCCCGTTCCAAAATCTCTTTTCTTCATTCTTCCTTTATTCTTTCACTTTGCGTTTATTCATACTTTTTATTCATAATTTTATACACTACACACATAGTCACTAGGTTTAGGCCTAGGCTAGGCCTCGGCTATGACTATTACTATATTATTTAATACAATTTTAATAGATAAGATTAATTTAACATGGACGTAATAATTCATAAATAATATATATAATAACGTTAACGAATGAATAACAATAATTTAAATGTGGACATAGTGCCACTACTGCAATAATAAGATTAATACTTTTCAATTTTATATAGCCGGAGTTAGTATTGACCTAGGCTACTATGGCTAACGACAAGTACGCTTTCTCCAAAAAAAAAGGCTTTTTCTATGAATGGAATGACCTGTACGAAGCACGAGCTCCTGTAGACCAAAGACCAAACCAGTAACCTAATTGAAGCTAAATCTTTACTACAACTAGTTGGGTTCTTCTAATAGGCCTAATAAATTTTATATTAATGCAATCTTCTTTATTCCATTGATGTAGGCCCTACACTGAAAAAGAAAAAAAAAACATTTACGAGCTTGACAGAAAATAAAAATAAACGATCAATCTAACAATACATAACAATTCAAATTCTCATTTTCGTTTTATGTAGAATACGTTTATTACCGTTCACGTAGCAGTATATAACGGCCTATCTTGATTGATGCTATGAAACACAGACATGAAGGTCATGGTTGAATGCGTACCGGTACGTATCTGCTGATACGTCAATGCGTTACAGATCCACAATGTCAACGCATTACATACCGAGACACGACAGGAAAAACCAACAAAACAAAATCAAGATACATCGATTTTTAACGGAATTTGGATAATTACCGTTCTAAAAGTTGATTTCTATTGATTATAAGTAGTTTTCTACTCTGGTGTTGTAATATTTTTATCATTTTTGCACCCGTGTGGTATGGTCCCGAGTTGTCGCGAGTGGTCCCGTGTGTTCGTGGTATTTAGTATAGGAAAGGAAAGGAAACCTCGAATATTTAAGAAATTAAACGACACTTCAGAAGTCAGGAAAGCTCATTTACCGCCATACCATTTAGAAATCAACTCTTCGGGGTTCACTGATTCATGGAATCGTTTTCAAGAGGGGAAACCTTGACGTTAAACAACACTCAGAAGTCGGGAAAGCTCATTTTCCACCATCTAGGAATCAAACTTTTCCCGGGGAGGACCGGACCCCATTTCTCTTTGGGGGGGTTTATCGATTCATGGAAAAAATAATACGTATGCAACTACTCATTTTTTTTTTATGCACGTGCGTGTGTATACGCATAACAGGCCCTGTAATAAGAATGCGAAAGTTTACCTGACTGTCTTCAAGAGGGAGAAAACCTTGAATTTTTGAAGAACATAAAGTCATTAAAAGACACCTAGCTCAAAAGTGATCCCCCTTCCCCCTCCCTGAAAAAAACGTTCTGGCCCGGTCTTCCTGACGGTTTCCAATAGTGGGATATTATATCGGCTGAGGCAGACTGCTACATAATTACAAGAGCTCATTCAACTTATCAATGAAAAACGTATTCGACAGTACTGTATTCCTACATACGAATTTGTAGAAGTACAATTAGTTGGTGATAATTATCGAATTTTGGGCAATACAAAATTAATCGACATCCACAAGCATAGAATGTCTAGCTCTCTCAGCGACAAAAAAAGACCGGCATGGCAGAATACACATGGATATGTATTAAAACCGAGGAATAGAGATATAAACCAGCCAAAGCTAAGTCGATTGAGGTTGTTCATTTGTTGCTCAAAATTAACACTGTTCGGCTTTACATTGATATCCACGGCCAGTGATCGTTACAATTAATGACATTTTCAAGAAGAGAAGTTGCATACGACTAAATATTTAGTATTCTATATTTTTTAAACTTCCTACATTTTACCGGCTGTAGCCGAAGACCAAGTTAATGACCTTCCTTTTCCATCAAGTTTTCCATAATTCAACATTGATCTCATTCTGTTTTTTATGTACAGCGCTTTGAGAGCTTGTTTATTTGTGCTATGAATGAGCTATTATTATTGGTATTATTTGGGGAAAAAATTGAAAATCAGCTTTGTATATATGCTTTATGTTTTGTAGTATACCACTAATTGAAACCTCAGTGATTTGTGAGTGATTGCCTTTGTTAAGCAAACTTATTAATTCTTCTGTTGAAATGATGGGAATTAGTTTTATTTGTGGATCTCCACGTATGCATGACATACGAGGAAATCCACAACGCCTTTGTTGGTTTTTTTCAATTGTATGCTGGAACGTGAATTTCACAGTGGGAGTAGCTTAAGAAAATAGAACAAGAAGCAACGATTTGTCTGTGGTTCTGCTGCAATAGGCTATACTAATGCATCAAACAATAAAAGGAAATATTTGACATGATTTATGTGTTTCAGTTATTTCTTACTTAAAATTACAATAAATCAAATACTCTTAAAAGTACAAACACTTCTTTGGTGTTCTTTCCAAAACAAAATTCAAAATGGCGCTTTTTACACATATCTTATTTTCTTTGTAATATGCTTTATTGAAAAATATGAAAATATTGGATTGATTAAGGTGTTCCATAAATCAATTACAACTTTGTTAGGGAAACCGTCTAAAGTTGGCAGATTTTTGTGGTGTCCGCTTTTCTTGAAAATTAGGCCTGATATGTTCGCAAAAACTCCAGGCAGAATACCGTACCTGTCTTAGGAACTCCTATGAATTCCATGGAATGTTTTGAGCGTATCCAATCCGTTTGTCGAATCCCAATTTGCCGAAACCCATTCGTCAGTGACTTACATTCTTTGAGCGTAGTTTTTTTTTTACACTAAAGTATTTGAAAATCGCATCATTTCACCTTTTGCTCATTTCTACTTTCTTACATTATCCTCGACGTTCTATGTCCACCGACATTGCACGTGAAATCCTGCTATCTATATTCTTTGGTGAAATCGAAAGTTCCCTGTTAATTAATGCATACTAAAATATGATCGGAGTATGCCTATACATAATGGATTAATTTTTCAGTGTGTTACAAAATTAACTGGTAATAATGAGGCAGCACTCTGAGACTAACTTTCAATATGTAACACCAGCTTCCAGGTATGTAGGCCTAACTCATGATACTATATTAATATTTAATTGATATTTATAAAATATTAATATTTAAAATTATATGACGTCATATGTAATTCATGAATGTTACTATCCACCAAAATTATAGAATAATTATAGAAATTAGAAGAATGTCCAAAAGAGGAGGGTGGGGGGTCGATGCCCCAAAAGGACTAGATCTTATGAGACCGCATGGTGGCGCACTACTACCTAATGCAACATAATAAACAACACAGCAGCAACACACGTGGTTGACTCCGATGTTTATAAAATTCAAAATTTAAAAGGTTTTAAGGACTGCTGACTTAATTACTAAAGATTTATTGATTTTTCGAGTCTTCATCATTTTATGATCTTGGTGTCATCTTGTCTGGTTACTGGTACCTCTTTAATCTGAGTAATTCGTACACAAGGAGAAGTAGCTGTAGATGGCCTATTAAAATACCTCTCTAGCTAGGCAAGGCATAGGCCTATTTGTTGAAGCAAGTGCCTAGTAGTACTATACCTAGCTTGCTTCTCAGTAATATTAATTAATATGGATTTGCCTGCTGTTGGCGACGAGATATTGAACCTGAATGTTGGGGGATGCATCTATACAACAAGTCGCTCTACGTTAATGCGTTATCCGGATTCGATGTTAGGATCAATGTTCAGCGGCCGGTTGCCAACTATCGTAGATGATCGAAATTGCTACGTCATCGACGGAGACGGTCCAACATTCCGGCACATTCTCAATTTCCTCCGTCGATCAAAGCTTATCCTTCCTGATGGTTTTCAAGAGTGGGATATTCTATCGGCTGAGGCAGACTACTATCAAATACAAGAGCTCATTCAAATTATCAACGAAACGAGAAAACGCATTCGAGAGGATGCATTACCACTGCCACCACTAGCTAAACCAGATTCCTTTGAATTCTTAGAATTAGAATATTGTAAGCCTAAAGACAGTTGGCGGATATCTGGAAAAATTAATGCAATTCGTAAATTACCAATGATGGGAAAGTATGACAATGAGTACGAATTCGAATGGCTTGAGTATCAGGACCCTGAACCATATGATGAGTCTAAATACTACATATTTACACCACAGTATGTTGAACGACTGCAGTTGTTCGTTGAAATTTCCCAACAAGGTTTCACCTTGATCTCTTCATCCCCAGGAATTGATGATTTCACATACAGATGGACATTTTCAAGAAGAGACAAGGCCTAGAGACCTAAATAATGCACAGTACTCCAGTATTTGATAGAATGAGAATGTATTTTTTATCATCTTGGAGGCAAAATGTGAACATGAAGCTAGTGCGGATATTTTCGCAAATCAAATCAATCCATGGACATTTCCGGATTTTCAGACAACTGACCAATCACACGTTATTCAATAGTCAGGCATATGCGCATTCATTTACCAACAAGTTTACACTATTCCAGCTCCGTCGCCAAATTGGACTACTGTATGATCCAGTTTGATATATGTGAGGTCTCACCACGAAATGAGACGCATCGTTGGTGAAATCATTACGAGATAATCACCAAAATAGGCCAAAGTCAAAATTTTTACACAATTTTGATTTTAATGTTTTTTGATAACTTGATATTTATATTTAATGATTGTGTACTTTTTAAGTGAATTTTCTTACTAAAACAGTGTTCTCTGCGCATATTCTGTAATTCTAGTCCTATTATTTGTACAGGTTAGTTTATCTTGGAGGCCGAATTTCTCAAAATGTGGTTCTTTTACACATAATATTTAAGGCCAAATAAAAAAAAAAACATGTTTCGCGTCCCCGCCCGCATCGTTTTTTTCGCCCGCCTTGATTTTTTTTTAATTTTTTATTTTTGGAAAATTCATAAAATAAAGAAAAAATATATCGAAAATTTAGAATTAAATGTTGGAAAATAAATACCCTGGCCTAAAATAGTGCAATATCTTCGTCTAACCTTTCGTATAGTAAAGCTATGCCTAGGCTAGCCCAATATCTCTACCTAGGCTAGGCCTAGGCTAGCCCGATATCTCTAGGCTAGGCCTAGGCCATCGCCTACTCTGGGCGTAAGGCGGCAAACCTCGAGTTCACTTCACTAGAGCGCGTTTGTCATGCATACAATTGCCGTATTCGATTGGGACTATGTTGAGTATGTTATCCCGTTGAGTACAAAACTCAACGATAAATTCCGAGCGTTAACTTCGTTGAGCAGTTTCCGTTGAGCAGAGCACGAAAGTGCTAACCGAATACGGCCGATGATTTCCGATGAATTCTGGAATTTCCCGTTATACTGGCCCTCTATGTCAGATTGTATGGAATAGTTTCATGTGAAGACGTCTGAGACGTAACATCGGGAACATTCCGATTGTATACAGTATAACAATGATTCCTCAATTTTATATGTTGAACAAAACTAGACGGGAAATGTCAACAAGTCTGTAGAATGGCGGCCATTTTGAAAAATAAAAAATAAAAAAGGCCGCTTCCTCAATTAAAATAAAAAGCCGGACGTGAAACATGTTTTTTTTTTTTACCTGGCCTAAATGCTCACATCTCTGGATCTACATATCCTAGTGAGGCCATTCAAAGACCAAATTAAAGCCTATAATGTGATAAACTCAATTTTTGATATTCTAACCATGAGACTCATTTTGTGGTGAGGCCTCATATATCGACTGCGGTAGTAGTATTACCAATTTTATTGATGTTTCGTCTTCTGGAGGCAAAGGTGGTGCTAGAATGCAAAGACATTTGGACATTTTGAATAAGAGTATTCTGTTCTTATGAACAACTGATCCGTGTGTTTTTATAGTAATTTCTTTTTACATTGATTATTATTATTTAATGATCTTTTCTGTAATTTGTATTCGACATCCATTAGAAATATTCTTGCATATCGGATCCTCAAGTCTCCTGGATTTTGGGGCCAAATAAAGTTTTTTGTAAGGCTTAGTGCTGTATTATAGATTATAATGCCTAAGGGTGTTTATTCAATTAAATATGGTAATTTACATGCAAAGAAATTTTAACATTTTGAATAAGAGTATTAAAAAGCAACTGATTATTGTGTTTATAGTAATTTCTTTACATTACTATTATTTAATTATCTATTCAATAATTTGTATTTCACTTCCATTAGAAATATTATTCTTAGCATATTATTGGATCCCCACGTTTGCTGAAATTTTTGGTTAAATATGGCCAGAATACCATTTTTTATCTACAGTATTCTTTGACAAAGATTTTCAATAATTTTTTTTTTTTTAGAGCTTGGTGCTATATTATAGAATATAACAAATGTTTTATTATTAAGGTCAGCATTTTATGTATGGCTTTGACCTATTAGTAGGCCTATCTAATATGTAGTTAGTAGATTGCATAATAATTTGTGTTATTATGAAATACCTTTGTTACTGGAACTTTATGAATATTGTATCAGAAAACATATACTAATAAGTAATTAAGTTTCAAGTTTTCATTATTTGGAGTGTACTGGCTGTACAGAGAATTTAGCATAGTTGATTTGTTTTTAATCAATAATTAGACAAGTATAATATGCAATATATAGTACTACAGGTAGTACCTTTGTCATCAGAACTTTACGAAAGCCTTGTTATAATATATTATTGTTTTCATATATTTGTATTTATTATATTAGAACATAAAAGTATTGGTGCTATAACTTATTAAAGAATACTTTAATAGTCAATTCAACATTTTATTCATGAATAGTACACAATGTATAATTTATACCTGTGTGTATCAGTAGGCTAGGGATGGGGGTGAGGGGAACACATGTACCCCCACTCAGAATGAAACCAGCATATGCCCCTTTTATAGCATATTGTTTGTATGCATGTATTATATAAATAACATTGATCAGAAACCATAACAAATACTGTACTTTACTAGTCGTTTTTATTCAGTAGTAGATCACATGTTCGATGTAATATTTTTGCTTATAGAAATCATACTCATTTAGTTTGAACTTTACTAATATATTGTAGTTTATTTAATTAAATATAAAGGATGTTTTTTTTTAAGGAATTGAGTAGTGTCTTATCCTTTACAATGATAATTCCCTGTCTTACAGCTTTATTTGCTCACTGAAGTAGGAGGGGAGGGGGCAGGGAGGGGCGGGGGTGTTGAGTGACTGCGGGGCTCACTCCAATAGATTGTAACAGAATCAGTGATACAGAGTGAAATTTCTCACTATTAAAAAAAACAATTAAAAAAATAATTAAAATATCTATTAGAGGATCTATAAAGTTATTTGTAATTGGAATTTAATAAAATTCGATTAAATTAATGTTCAAGTTTATAATGTCTTTAAAAAATACACATGAAGCTCTGTTGACACTATCAAGTTTTATATGTATGCCCATATATAGTCATGATGTGATGTCATCGTGACCATATTTAGGCATGTCAAATGTTTTTGTCAAATAAAATTTGATAGTCTGAACAGGGCTTTATTTGTGTTACAATTGTCATCTTTTCTTATTTCTAAGATGTTCATAATAAGCTACAGTAATTTTGATACCCTCTTCCATAGAAACCAACGGAGCATATCCTAAATCTCTCTTCGCTCGTTCGCAGCTGTAGTAATGATGTGTACCGGCGTAGGCTATACGTATTGGCGTGAACGTAGGCTTGATGTCTACTGCTGGTTTTAATAAGAAGCATATCAACTGGACCAGCATTGCCAGATAGTAAAGGAAGAGGTATGGAATGTGATATTGTGGTGGTTTATAATCTAAACCACGCAGAATTTGCGAGATAAAATCCCAGAAACCGACAGGCTCGTCATTTGTGATATGGTACACCTGTTGGAAGGAAAACAAAAAGATTTAAAAAAAAATTAAACACATTTTCACACTGACTTTTGAGACACGCTGACAATGGACCTTTCCGCTAAGCTCCGCCCCTTGGATATTGTTGCCAAGGTCCCACAAGACGGCAGTGTTAAAACATTCGCGAACACGTGTTTTTAAGACGCGCACATTCCTAGCGCTGTTCTGATTGGTCAGTTGTTAAGTTTGATTGACACTCCGGAAAGGTCTATTCTCCTAAGCCCCTCCCCTTTGATAATGTTGCCAAGGTCCCACAAAATGACTGCCATTTGTAAGAAGCATGCAAGGCATACAGTTCTTTTTCCAAAGAGACCAATACAGAACCTTCATACTTAGCTCACCGAGAAGACACCCACTCTTTCTGTAGGCAGATTGAGGGGGGAAGGCACAGCTGACACCCTTCTAAAGTTTCCAAAATTATACATTAAAATGAAGAAAAAAGGGAAAATACAGTATTCAAATTAAGTCATTTCTGGCCATCTAGAGGTGCCATAATCTTAACATTTTGCACCTCAGCCCTAACCATGGTGGGGCTGAGGTGGTCTAAACCTGGGTCCCCTCTACTTCGAATCCCTGGATCTGCCACTGATTTTCCACTCAAGTTATTGACAATACACAAGCATTTTTTTTTGCATTCATTGTTTATGTACTTTTTAGATCATGAAACCAGGTAATTTTAAGAGAAAACAAAACAATATTTTCAGTGACAAATGCCCCATCCCCTCCCCCTTCCTTTTCTCCCTAAAGAGTACAATGTTTTCCCCTCTCCCTAACATAGATGATTTCAAAAAAGGCATTACCTTTCCGCTAACTTTGGCATTGTTATCCAAAGCCTTTGCAGCTAAGATATGACCATAAACAGCATTCTCAATGTATGTGAAATCCACCAGATTCTTTCCATTTCTGTAAAATATAATAGTGTATAAATTTAATCCTGCGTTTACATGACCTAGTGTACATTCATATTAACCCAGCAAATTAACATAATGCCAACAATCGTTATTTGACCGGGAGACTCCTGATTTTGAGACTTGTCTCCTGATTGAAAATCGTTCTCCCGATTTTCCCCAGCTTCTGATTTAAGGTAATTTAATCACTATTTATACAGATGGTTGAATTTAGCCTAATTTCAAATTTTACAAATTAGTAATTAGTTACATACCCAAATAAATCATTTTGGCTCCCTAAACAGAAAGAATCCTGGAGCTTTCAGGCCCCCTGGACCCCTACCTTATGAGAGGGGGACACCTCTCGCCCTCTTCGAATTAACCCAGCTCCCGCTTAGCCTACGGCCCTCGGTTGGCGCGTAACGCTAAAATACTAAAAATCTATGAAGAAACATCTTATTTTGTTCTGATTTTTATTACTCAAATGTTGGCATGTATGAATATATAAAGAGGCAACATTCTAAATCCTAAATAATGCTTATGGTTGTGGTACAATATGTTTTTTCTTTTGAATATTTCTAAAGATGTTTAGAGAAGGTGCTATAATGAGCACATAACTAACTGCAGATGAACATCACTTACCCTATTGCAAATTTGAGCTTGCCTTCCTTGGCAGTTTTGATAATTGTTGGAATAAATAGTGGATCACGTGGTCCAAACAGGCTGTGGGGACGTATAGCAACGGTTAGAAAACCATTAGCAGGATCACTGGCCTCCAGAACAATCTAAACATTGAGAAAATGCTGTGTAATATTTTAAATTGGCATAATAATCAGATTAAGACATTTTTGAAGCCTGTCTTACAATCTAGTCCAGTATGTAGCTTTATTTTAATCAGTTACGGTCAGTGGCAGTCTAGCAGGATCAGAGCATTAAGACAAGCCAGCACCCCCCCTCCCCACACCTTATAGGACCAAAAAAAAAAAAAGGAAATTTCACGTTAAAAAAAGTTTTAACTTGAGCACACAGTAATCCAATCCAAAGTTGCCAAAATAAACTTGAATAATAAACCTATTGAATTAAAAAAGCAATAAAAATCAGATGATAACTCTAAATACCCTCTCTTGCAGTATTTTTGTTTCTGTGTAATAATCAATAGGTTTACTCGCGTACGGTGTATCTTCTGTAGCGCCCTCAAGATCAATTCCTTCAAACAAGACACTGGCTGAACTGGTTAACACAAGCCTCTGTAATATAGCAAAACAGTTATTATACACTGACACAGCTAAGGAATATGCAATGACGAAAATACACATATTGACACAGTTAATGTATATTCATTGACATAGTTAATGAATATGCAAAGCCAAGTGGTTATGAAAATGCAATAAATTCACAACTAATGCACAAACACAGGTGAAGGAGATACTGTACTAATTTCAAACCAAGGGAATAAATTTTTAGTGAAGAAATAAAGGTATAAAATTTATTTTATCGATTTTCAATTCATCAATTTGATTGATCAATTGACTATTGATCGATTAATTACTTATTCATTGATTATTTATTGATTGATCTAATATTTATTTAATTATTGACTTATTTATTATAATTAGATGATGTAGTAATTGCTGATTTCTCAATCAATTATCGATTGAACATCAATGATTGATTAATCAAGTTTTCAATAACAAATCAAGTATTGAATTACTGATAGATTATTAATTGGTTGATTTTAGGGGAAATTCTCTGCAAACTTTTATACCTTCACACCAACTTTCTTGCACATCTCCACAACATTCTTAGTGCCTTCAACATTTACTCTGTAGAACAGGTCTCTGAAATGGAATGAGGTTTACACTGTATAGTGGCATGTGGCAATGTATCGTGGCAGCGTATGGCAGTTGGCACTTTGTAGCAGCACATTTGTGAAATTAATATCCCTACCAATTTTAATACCAAAAATGCAGTGACCACAATGTGGCTTGATTTTAGAAGACGAGACAGACAGCCCATTGGAAATTCTGATTTATAAGGATGTATTTATTTATGTAAATGTACTATTATTATGATGATTAAATGCAACTTAATAAAGCAGTTGGTAGGCTGTATTTAATTTTTTTAATTGATGAAACCTAATAAAGATCGGTTAATTAGGTTGTGTCAGTTATTTTTGCACAAAACAACACCCCTATTATGAAATGTTTTGTTTCACTGGTGTGGTGTTTCTGTTAACTGGCATTTTTCCTACTGGCATTTTTTTCCTACACTCATGTATACCTCAATAGAAAGATATACCCACAAAAAAGGAAGATGACAAGCTTACTTGTTGATACACGCTGAAGAGGGTGAGGCACAGTGAAACACAACATCTGCACTTTCTAACGCTGGTAACAGATCCTAAATTACAGATCAAACAATATAGAAATTATCTTAGTATCAATAATAGTAATAATAATAATAATAATAATAATAACAATAATAATGTAAGTAATAATGCTGTCTCTTATACACATCTAGATGTGTATAAGAGACAGCCTTACCATTCCAATTTAATTGCATTAACATTTTTGTTCCCCGCGCCCTCACCATTTCAATGTCTGTCTCTTATACACATCTAGATGTGTATAAGAGACAGGGTTACGCACCGCTGATTCGCAATGTTTGTCATCACTTCTAGATGTCTACCGATTCGTGAAAAAGGCGTATTAATGAAGTACAGTCGAGTCCGCCGAAGTCGACTCTGTTTAAGTCGAAAATTCGCGTCAGTCGAATTTTTGAAGAAGTCCCAATTCTTTCCTATGTATTACTGTATAAATTGTTTGTTTAATTCGAATTTTTAAAGTCGAATTTCGGCTATATCGACTGAATTTTCCGGTCCAGATAGGCCGATTTTAAAGTAATTTCAACCACACAAGTCGAAGATCCAAATTTTGTAGCGCACATGGGAAAATACACAGCCGTTGGAAAACAAAGTTCAATCCTTGTTGTACGGCAACAAGTTAGCCAAGTCAAAACTAACATCTCAGACAGCGCGATTTGGAACTTGGATCACACGATCGTATGTCGTAAGTTGCAGTCTACTCTCAATACAGACACCCCTCCGTACCGGCTCCAATGTTCAGTTTGTCGTCCAGTTCAGTTTATAGAACTTGATACATTGAACCCATTTTGAACAAGATTGTTGTAGTCTGGGCCTAGCTATTTAATTAATTTATCAAAGCCCTGGATTCTTTTGACTAGGCCTAGCCTAGCCTACGCAAATTCAACATTATTTAATAATACGTACAATACCTGTTGTTTTGCTGTACTGCTCAGCAAATTTAATTATTACAGTACCAATAAAATTGATGCGATTTTTATATTGTTTTTGCGTGCATTTCATTTAGGTCTGATTATGTTTTTCCAAGCACACATTCTTCGTTGGGTAATGCTGGTCGGAAGTCTAGTTGTAAACAGAATAGGTCACGCCCCCAAAAACTCCGCCTGCCCACTAATTGGGCCATTTTCGTGGGGTGTTTTGCACTAGATTTGTGCTTTGGCTGTGATGACGTCAGATCGCTCAATGTTTCATAGTGCATGACAGTAAAAAAGCTCGGTGTAATAAAGAATGTTTTCTTAAACAAATTTATAAAACAAAGCAAAAAACAAATACGAAACCCTCATGGTATTATTTTAGAGTCAAATCTAAGTAAACCTAACAAATTAGATTTTATTCTCTACAAATTTCCTCCGTAATAGAATTAGCAACATGTTTTGAATAGCATCTTGAGGTGCATTTGCAATTTACACTGACGAATCTAACAAATTTGAATTAGACGTCTACTAAAAAGAGTAACCAGTAGGAACTTGCTTTGTCGAATTCCGTCTTTATTTCAGGTTGATTCCAAATGGTTTTTAAGGATTAAAAGCAAGAATATACACTAATTAAAACATTGGAATGCGTACCTTAATTTCACTTCATAATTAACCAACAAAACTACTGGCATGTCATGTTAATCAACAGATAATCTACATGGCAATACAAGTCGTTTTCACAGCGTGTGGTATGCTTGTCGTTAAACGATGTCTATTTAACTATCGTCTGGTTTTTTCAGTGAGTGTTACCGTCCTGAATTGGACAAATCGTCCGAGATTCGGAATAGGGAGTTCATGTTTTTAGGAAAGTATTTTATTAAAAGAACAATAGGAATGATTTTGGGACTTAAAAATATGTTCGGTTTTGCGTGAAATTCTATTTTGTGGGCATGGTACACATACAGTAGTATTGTTCTATAATACAGTATTTTTTTTTTTCTCGAAAATGTGCAAGTCGAAATCTGTATAACTCGATCTTTTTATGCCAGTCCCATTAGATTCGACTTAGGCCGAGTCGACTGTATTAACTTTGAGTTCAGCTCTAGGCCTAGAGAGAGATAGGTATTATCAAAATTAAAGCAAGTTAAAAGTAAAATTTCCTCAACTAATATGAAATACACTTTAATAAACTTGAGCACACGTTTACACAAGCAGCAAAACACATTGAACGAAAATGCTGAAGTTACTAGCGATTCTGAGATGCTATACAATTTCTGTTCTTTTTGGCACTGCACCTCGGACCTTCCTTTTTCTTTGATGCTGCTAGAGATTACTTATTTATACAACTTAAAATCAGGAAATTAGTTTGTTGTATTTTCATATAATAATGACAATGTTTACTTTAAAAGTAGGCCTATCATATCAGTAACCAGTATTTTACCCAACAACGTTTTGAATTACAATTTAACACTAGCTTCTTGTATTTTATGCATAAGTATAATACATAAACACCTTTAAAAATTTATAATCACTCTTTATCTCTATATAGTACATTTCAAATTCCTGCCAAATTAATGCCTGATTAATATAATTAAGTACACTTTGACTAACTAAACTTTTGATAACATTGTACCTACTTCTTTAGGCTTCCAGGTATAACAAGTCCGCTCTTGGGGGCGCGCAGAAGAAACGAACAGGACCCAAACCAGAACTCACTGAAGAGCAGAAACAAGAGATTCGAGAAGCCTTTGACTTATTTGACACTGAAGGCACTGGTACTATTGATGCCAAAGAATTGAAAGTAATTATTTTATATTTCCTGATTATTACTAATTTAGCAACACTTATTTATATCTTGTTTTGCGAAAAATTATAATTTCAAATAAAAAAGATAAATTTTATATTTTTCAGGGTTGTAGCTAATGAAAACTAAAGGTGGGGGTAAATATTTTGAGGGTGGGTGCGTGATAACATTAGTATACTCTAGATAATACGAGAGGATCTTAAAGATGGAAAAGTGGGTTAATAAGGGTGGGTGGAAGGCCATGAAATTAGCTTTAGACTGGGTGGAAAACTTCAAGGCTGGGTGGCCCTGCCCACCTCCTCTTACTATAACTACATCCCTGATTTTAGCCTGATGAAGAAAATGTTATCTTTGTTGAAATAATACAGAATGTCCAATGAAAATTTATCACATGTTTTGTATCATTTTGCTTTTTGTGAATCTGATATTATTGAAAAAAAATAAAAATATATTTTACAAAACATTTTAATTTTAACTGATTTTTTTTTTTTTTTTTTTTTTTGTGGTGGCTAGTCTGCTAACAGGACAAAACCAAACATTTTATTTTTTATTAAAGATTATCATTATCTGTGCGTAGTAAGTCCATTAAACATTGTATAAAGTATGTCTTTCCATTCAATTAGTAATTAGATTTTTATTTGCATATATTATCTAAATTCTAGAACTGTTTACATTGTGAGTGTAATCAAATCAAGTGCTAATTTTAGCCTGAAATATGCAAGCAGTGACAAAAAATTTATTTTTGTCTGTAATGGATTTACTTATAATTTAAGCCTGTGTTTGAGCTGTTGAAGTTCTTAACTCTAGCTAAAAATATTCCAATTCATTTATATGTTGTTTATTATACTTTTAGAATTGTTATCTGTATAATTAGCATTTCAAATCGCTAAATTTAGGAGTGGGGTTCATACAGAGTGGAGAATTTGGCATGAAAATTAATATAAGAGTTAGGGGGCATGTTTGTACCTGCGTTAGTACAGTAATAACTAATATTAATTGCAAGTACAGTATAGCAGAGTAACCTCATTGTATTTGTAATGAAATGTTATGACATCATTATTATAGGTTGCCATGCGAGCACTTGGATTTGAACCCAAAAAAGAAGAGATTAGGAAGATGATCCAGGACATCGACAAGGAGGGAACTGGCACCATTGACTTTAATGACTTCTTAACGATGATGACAGCAAAGATGGTGAGATATTACATACGTGACACCATCCGCCCTTCCCACACAAAGAATTACCCTTTATCCTATATTGATCCTCTATTTAGCCTTTATTGATTGTCTGTACTTTCCGATTTTTGTCATTTATTGTATTTTATTGTCTGTTACTAGGCTCTTCAGGGTAATAATGCTTTTGCGCTGATCAGGTCATCCAGGGTAAAAAAGAAAGAAAAAAAAAAAATTACATGTGCATGAGACATATTCATAGGATCACTTTGTCTATAGAATATATCCTAAATATGATCACATGTCTATAGAACACATCTTCCATATGATTACAGTGTATGAAAGATTCATGTATGGTCATGTGTCTATGGAACAAAATCATATAATCAAATGTGCATGCAAACACATTCATTCATATGATCATTTGTCTATTGAACACATCCTTTATGTAATCACATAAATTCATGTAATCACATGTTTCAAATTCAAACAAATTTATGTGATCACATTTTTATAGAACATACCCTACATATGATTACATGTCTATTTAGCATATTACATAATTACAAGGACATCCTCCATGTATTATAGACTTCTTAAATATGATGATAACATGTACAAGGAACACATTTGGAACTCTGTGACACCCAATTTACTCCAAGGTTCAGGCACTGAATTAAATGAATTATATTTTTACGTAACATCAGATTTATTAACAGAAAACTGTTACAAATTTTCCTTCCACCAGAGTGAGAAAGACTCCAAGGAAGAGATCATGAAAGCCTTCCGTTTGTTTGATGATGATGAAACCGGCAAAATATCATTTAAGAACTTAAAACGTGTTGCAAAGGAGCTCGGAGAAAATCTAACAGATGAGGAGTTACAGGTAAGTCAAAAGTGGGAGGAATCTGGTGATATATTCATCTTTCAGTTCTCAGCGTACCATCAAGTAGAGTAACATCTCCCAATTACGAACCTCTCATTTGCAAACTCTCGATTCTACGAACCGAATTTGCAGCTATGACATCATTACAAATGATCGCTTTTAACTACTGAAACACTTTAAAATGTGTTTATAAGTCTTCCGAAATAATTTTAATTGTTACATCAGCTAAGAGAGAAAACATTCAAACCAATAAAGTGATATAAAATGAAGTTTAAAGCAAGATATAGCAATCGTTTTCAGCCAAGATATGTTATATTTGATCAGTACATGCTTGTTCAGGCATACTGTACAATAAATCTCACTTTTTGATCATTGGGGGCATTATTCACATGGATTCGCGATCTTTATGAAAAGAATAATAAAACTGTTTTTGGGCATTTATGATCATGATTTCATTTTGAAATCACTTCAAATGAATACTTCACAGTGAGCACAGGTAATTTTGGCTTCTGTAAAGTAATATTTTGTTGCAGAAAACAGTAAAATCCAAGTCATATTTCGTGACAAAATTTTCTCCCATGGCAAGGCTTGGGCCTACCTAGCCCTGTACTTTGTAGCATGGCCAAGGCCTACCATCACCACATTGAGATGCTGCAAATTTGAACTCTGTGAATTATGAATTTTCTCATTTACGAACCCTGTTCGGACGGAGTGGTAAGTAGTTGGGAGATATTACTGTGTAAAGAAAGTTGAATAAATGAATAAATTTGGTCATGGTGCACCCACATCTTGGCATTTGAACGGTTATTTGTGAAATAAAATTTGACATTGTTGAAATGTTTGTTATTATTTTACTATAACAATGTCTAATTCTTAAGATCTGTCCGTACTATCATTATCTCTGTGGTCTGCCCACATATGGATGTACTATGACAATATCATTTCCATATATGTATATGGTATGACTTCAACATGCCCATATATGGGTATGTGTCACATACAACTTTATAGTTTACTTGTTTCATTGATGCCATTGTCCTTCTATAATAGGAGATGATCGATGAGGCGGACCGGGATGGTGATGGTGAAATCAACGAAGGCGAATTCTTGCGTATCATGAAGAAGACCAGTTTATATTGATGACTGTGCCTGTGATGATTTAGACTTACAAATGTCAGTGTGTTTTGTACAAATTCCAGCTAGTCAGTTGTACATTATTAATGTCCCTGGAATTATTTCATATCTCTGCTCCTCTCAAATAGTTTCACCACATTTTATCCTTTAATGCTCGCTCGACACACACTATCAAGTTTTAAGCGACAATTTTTTTTTTTGTCAGTGTTAGGCATTCTGTGCACCTTGTTAGACACACTGTGTTAAATTGTGTTGAGGCACACTTACCAGTTGTGTTTAGGCACAATATGTTCATTTTTCTTTAGGCACACTCTGTTCAGTTATGTTTAGAAACAGTGTTCAGTTGTGTTTAGGCACATGGTGTTCAATTGTGTTTAGGCACATGGTGTTCAATTGTGTTTAGGCCCAATATGTTCATTTGTGTTTAGACACATGGTGTTCAATTTTGTTTAGGCACAATATGTTCATTTGTGTTTAGGCATACTGTTTAGTTGTGTTTGGAAACAGTGTTCAGTTGTGTTTAGGCACAATATGTTCATTTTTCTTTAGGCACACTCTGTTCAGTTATGTTTAGAAACAGTGTTCAGTTGTGTTTAGGCACAATATGGTCATATGTGTTTAGGCACATGGTGTTCAATTGTGTTTAGGCACGATATGTTCATTTGTATTTAGGCACATGGTGTTCAATTGTGTTTAGGCACAATATGTTCATTTGTGTTTAGGCATACTGTTTAGTTGTGTTTGGAAACAGTGTTCAGTTGTGTTTAGGCACAATATGTTCATTTTTCTTTAGGCACACTCTGTTCAGTTGTGTTTAGAAACAGTGTTCAGTTGTGTTTAGGCACAATATGTTCATATGTGTTTAGGCACATGGTGTTCAATTGTGTTTAGGCAGGATATGTTCATTTGTGTTTAGGCACATGGTGTTCAATTGTGGTTAGGCACAATATGTTCATTTTTGTTTAGGCATACTGTTTAGTTGTGTTTGGAAACAGTGTTCAGTTGTGTTTAGGCGCAATATGTTCATTTGTGTTTAGAAACAATGTTCAGTTGTGTTTAGACACACTGTATTCTATTTTGTTTAGACACTCTGTTCAGTTGAGTTTAGCAACGTGCTTCATGTGTTTAGGTGCAATGTGTTCAATTATGTTTATGCACACAATGTTCAGTTGTGTTTACAAACACACTGTGCAGCTGTGTTTAGGCACAATGTGTTCTATTGCGTTTAGGCACACTGTTCAGTTGTCTAGCAACAGGATTCAATTGCTTTTAGACACACTCTGCTCAATGTGTTCAGGAACCTGTCAGTGGATGTATATAGTCACACTGCATTAAGTGTTAAGTGTTGCATTAAGACACAAACCATTGTAGGTGTTTATGTACACTCGGCATTCAGTGTCTTTAGGTACTGTTGCATTGAGTCTGTCTAGGCCTATACATGCCCTAGACCTAGGCACACTGTATTCCATGTGTATAGACACACTGTGTTCCATGTGTTTACATACACTGGTCTTAGTGTGTTTAGACTCTGTACATCTCTGAACATATGTGCACTGTATAAACAGTGCACATATGTTCAGAGATGTACAGAATACATATGTATTCAATGTGTGTTTACAACATATTTGTACTGCTACTTAGGCCCACAGTTTCGGCCCTAGCTTTGTTGGAGTCTTATACCGTACATATTAATTTAGATATATAAATGACATAGCCACCTTCCTTTTTATACACAGTGAAAGTACTTAAATTCTATTCAAGTCAAGATCTATTTGTATCGTTCTTATTGTACAAGACCTTTATCATTATGTATTCATTTTGTTGTTTATAAGTTGTATGCTCATTTGTATCAATTTTAATGTTTTAGAAAAAAGGGAAAACTTGTCGGTGCTATACATCTTGAAGTTGACCACTATTAGAAGTTGTTTCGTAAACCGTGAACATGTTATGATTGGCTGTTTTTCTTAATCCCTGTTTCTACGTCTCGTCTCTGCTGGATTGACCACCCCAATAAGTTTGAATGGAGTTTTTGTGCACAATGTTAAGGAGTGGTACATCCAGTGAAGGGATATCCCTTTATGCCCCCCCCCCCCAAATAACATATTGTTTTTTGTGGAAGCATAAATTTATGCTACCATAAAGCTTTGTCTACACTATCAAATTTTAGGTGACAAAAAAAAATGTGCTGTGCCTATATGTGGGCATGATTACATCATATCACATAATTTAAAATTGTATAAAAAAAATGCTGAAAATGTTCAACTTTTTTATGTTGTCCGTCAAAAGTTGTCAAATATTTTAGGAAACACCTTTTGATTAATAAGCAAACACTACAAATCACACCAACAAATCAGATTTGAGAATTCAGTTTTATCCAAAATCACATTTTTTTAGGCAGTGTAGACAAAGGTTAAGGCTTTAGATTGTCATTGGACCCTTTTTGAGTGTCAATCAAACTCAACTGACCAATCAGCACATAGCACAAACAAGTTTTACAAACATTATGTGTGGGACCATGGCAACTATATCCAAGGGGCAGGGCGAAGTGTCTCATTAATAATCATGAGTCAGACACTGGAAGCAAGATGACTTGCCAGATTTTATCTCTCCATCCAAGAGTGATACAGCATATAAAATGTGAATGATATGAAAAGTATATTTTGGAATTAGACTAGGCTGTTTCCTAAAGCCGGGCAATCACTGCGTTGTACAACCCCCAACTCCACGCTTTGTGAGCGCTAGACGACGCGGTACGCTGTCTGCTGTTTGTCGGTGGCACTCTGAACAGATCGTCATTAAAAACGATCCGTTGCGCGCGCGTCGTGTCGTTGCGTTCTACATAGAATCGCACAGTGAGAGCCTGGCTTTAGAGAGCAAGTACTGTAGGCTGTGTGGTGTACGCTATATGACCAACAAGAAGTAAATAGAAACTTTAATATTATCTGCTATATCAAAATTCAGTAATATATTTAAATAAATGAGTTATGTGATGAGGTTTACTTGGGGTTGTATTAAAGAACCTCCAAGATTTTTGTGGCAGAGACCAAACCTAGGACCTTGCAATTGCATCTTAAACACCAATTTTTAGTTTTTCAACTCTACACTCTGCAAAGTTCTGTACAGGCATGATTTCTCCCATTCAAATTTCCTATTTTATATTTGGTTTGCACAATTGCAAAACATGGGCCTTTTATGGATGATCAAAATTTGTAAAACGATAAATACTTTACCTCAGTGTCGCTGTCCTTGAACCCCCTCTAGTGCACCTCAAATGGAATTCACTACTAGTCTCGAACCATGTTGTATTTTTATATTATTTCCCGTATGTTCCGGGGATTGCCAGTTTACTGTATCTTAACTACCCAGCTACATCCATAAATATTTTATACATATATATTGTATTCTGATTTTTCAGAATACAATATGTATTGTATTGTGATTGTCATGTTCCCTTGAAAATTTTTAGTGTATATGTTGTTAGTATAGGAAGCTTTGTATTGTATATAAATTGTTGTGGTTAGATTGTATATATACATTGAAAACATGTATGAAATAAAATGAATTAAACTAAATCTGAACAGACTTTTGTTCGTTTTGTCTATCAATTTTTTATCATAAAATATAATAAAAATACAATTGCTTTGAGAGTACAGATTGTGATAAATTATTTTGGGGTTTTTTTTTTTCAAAGTGACACAACAAAATTTTGGTATAAACAGTAGCAGCAAAGAATATATTTCAAAAAGTACTACCACGAAGGGGCGTGTCCTTCAAATGACGAGTTTCAAGGAACTATATTAAAATCCCAAAAGGGCGCCTCCTATCTTGTGGCAGTAGGCCTATTTTTAATATTTCATTGTGTGCATACAGAATCAGGGCAGTCGGAGCTCTTGCATAATCTTGGGCAGCAGCAAAATGTTGAGTGCAATATATTGGTCTCCCTCTAATTAAAGATCACTTCTGCGACCAGAATTCCATTGTCTGTAGCACCTTTCGTCTCTAATTAGAATAATAAAAATAAAGGACCGATGCTAATTTGGGAACACAGAAAAGTGGTTTTTATTTAGAGCAGATTGGAGGGGGTCTTTACTGAATTAGAGCATGAAGTTATAATTAACTCCATGATTAGAGCTAGACCTGTATTATTACTGTATTTGGTGGTTTTTATTCCAGATCACAATCTGTGTGTGTTGTGAAACTACACATTTTTCTAGGTATATCTGCTTGTTGGTCAATTTAGTTTTAACTACGAAACTATAGATAAACGGAAATTTTCTATACTTTTATCAATTGTAATTGTTTTTTTAAAATAAATTACACCATGAGAATGAAAGTCTCAATAACCGTATTCAGTTCTTTTGCTTTATACTCCAGTTGCAATTTTCTAATATTACATTTCAAAATATGTTTTTTAAACAGTTTTATTTTGGCTTGCACAGTTAGCGAAAGTGTCAACCGAAGATTTGGTTTGAGAATGGAGGTTAGAAGCTCGGGAAACGATTTCACGATTGACTTAGGCTACCGAATATGTGGTTGAAAAGCTGAAGAGCGACCTTTCGTTACAAGTTCTGGATTCAATCACCACTGTAGCCTAATTCTATCATTTTGAATGATCCATCGATTAATCGAGAGTGAGACCTGTATTAGAAGTGAAGATTTAAAAGTCCCAAGTTATTAACTTGTAAATGTCGCTGTCATCATGACAGTTTCATCCAGTGAACTGATTGGTTTACTTTGTCACATGACCAATCTCTCGAACGATCCGTCACAGTAGTTCACTAATTATAATAATTAGCATTACCGTAATAATTGATAATAATGGTAATAAAGAATTATTAGTAATAATAAAATTATATTAAATTTTTAGGTTATATAACTTTATACAAAAACTGAAATTACTCAATTTCTTGTATCATGATAAAAATAAACACTATTTCTTATAATTAACATAAATAACAATCATTCCTTTTCAAAAGTAACATTAAGATGAAACTGACCTTTTTGAATTAAATTATGAAATAAAATTATTCCCAAATACCATATTAATGAACATGCTTCATCCAACCCTACTCTTTTTTTTTAGTCAGCTCACAAACTCCTTCATAAAATGAATGTAGATCTACTTTCTTTCCTGGTCCTAAACTGTCCTACAGTATTTAAAAAATGCTTAGACTCGTAGAAGAGCTCTTCTATGAGTTAAAAGTCACAAAAAAAAAAAAAAAAAGCAACTGAAGACACGCTCCCGCTCATGGGAGCTTATTTTTCGTTTTATACAGTAGTTGATTTCGTTTATGATTGTATATTATATTTGTGATATGATTGACGCCCTCACTGAACCTTGATTACCAATGGTTTTTCCTTCTTCAATCCTTCGAATCCCGAATTGTCACACTTAATAGCGCTATTTGATTTCATCTTAATTGCCTTTTCATTTACTGAATTACTTTTCAATAAAGCAAATTCGATATTTCTACTCTTTCGTTTCCTCCGCTCGCTCCA